GTAGTGAAGCAATATCATCCATAGACTAAACATTGCTCTGATCTTACCTATCAAAGTTTAAAAGCAAGACCTGAAAGATCATACTGTTTCCAAGTAACTTTTTCCCAGGAAAAAGCTCAAGGATATTTATTTATAGAATTAAAAAACATATCCAGCACCGAACAAGGTAAAATTCACAAAGTCTGACATATAATCAAAATTGCCAGGCATTCAGAGAAGCATAAAATAAAGATTGATATTGAGTAGGAAAATCAGTTTTTTGAAACTGACACAGATGATAGAGTTAGTAGGCAAGGATATTAAAATAGTTATTAAAACTGTATTTCATATGTTCAAGAAAAAGAGGAAACGTTAAACATATTAAACACATATTAGGGATATGATAAAAGTCCCCAATGAACTCCAAGAGAAGAAAATTACAATATTTAAATCAAAAATACACTAGTTTGGATTAATGGCAGATTAGACATGGCAGAAGAAAAGATTAGTCTACTTGAAGTTATAGCAATAGACACTTTCTAAAATGAAACACAGGAAAAAAAGACTGAAACAAATAAACAACATCAGTAAGCACATGGGACAACTTCACATAGCCTAATAAACGTGAATTTTGAGACCGAAAAAGAGGCCCAAAGGGGGATAGAAAAAATATTTGAAGAAATGATAAATGAAAATGTCCCAAATTTGGTGGAAAGTCTACACCTGCAGATCCAAGAAGAATTCTAAGAATGAGAAACATAAAGAGGGAGACAGATTAGAGTAAAGATGGCAGACCAAAGTCACCACCAGCCAGAGCATCTCTGTAAGAAGGAGGAATTTTAGATGAAAGAGAAAAAACAAACAGACAGACAAACATAGATCAGATGAGTGTCTGAAGGAAAGGTGCCTGAACCTACAGGAGACTCCATGGGAAGAGTATGCAGAGCAGAACTGGAAGTAGAAAGGCATTGGTGGGGAATAAGCCTGGGGAGGCTTGGAGACCAGCCAGAAGAGTAAGTGGTTTGGCTAACATCCCCCTCCCTCACATGTCGGACTGTGGTGGGCTCCTGAGCTGCTGAAGCGGGCCCAGAGACTGCTGCTGCCAGTTAAGGGGGAGCTTTTTGCGGACATGGCACCAGGCCCTCACCCCCAGCCCCAGGCACCTCCTGCCCCACAGACCCGAGCTGGGTGGCAGGCGCCATATTGATTCTCTACCCATTGGGCACCTTTGCCCGTCACAGGGGGTCTCGACCACTCAGGTTCCATCTTGTTGGTCCCCACACAGACATTTCCCAACTCCTACAGTAGCCACAGGGGTCCGGTGGGTCCCGAGTGATCTCCATGACTCCAGAACCCTATCATTGTGGGCAAGCTGCCTCCCAGAAAGAGGGTTGGAGATGACCAGGGAGTGGACTTTCTTCCACCTAGACTCCTTTTCACCACTTCCCCTCCCCACCCACAGCAAATTGAGCTACCACATGGAGGCTTCCACAGGGAACAGGGCTCAGACCTTTCCTTTGGAGTCCCGCAGCAGACTGAGGGTTGCTTAGACTGTGAGCTCCCTCCCTGCTGGCCCTCCCTGATGCTGCTTGCCTGAAGACTCCAGCAGAGTAGGACACACTCCAAGGGGGAGGGATATTGAATCAGATTGGGCACCCCTGAGAAGGACTTCCTGGGACCAGTATCCTTTGCCCTGGCGTGGTCAGGGTTTGATCTCCGGGGCCCAGGGGATGGACCTGCAGGCCAGATCCTGTACACCCAGGTGTCGATTGTGTTCAACAGTCCAGGAAGGAGAGGAAGACAACATGTGGATGAGCACTTCCAATCTCTGCCATAAGCTGTCACATAGTAGGTGCTCAGTAAAAAACAGCAATTATAATTTGTTATGACAACAACCCTTTTCATTTCTTGGAGGAGTTTCTGAAAAGACTAAATTTACCTTGAAATTCATCAACTTTTTCAAGTGCTTTCAAATACAGGATCACATCTAGTTCTCAAAGGATCCTGTAATGTTAGCAGGGAGTTCTGCGCTGGCCTTTGCAATAACCTCTATAATCTTACTAGGCTGAGATTTATCCTTCCTTAGGATGCTTGGTCAAAATCTTAAGTTGTGAGTCTCTGCTACTCTCCACATGACTGAACATTCCTGAATACCTGTACAGGTGCCATTAAGGTAAACTGCAAACCAGGGTTTTCCTGTAAAGGCAGAAACATAGACAAGGGCAAGTGGAAGGATGGTTAATTATTGTTTTATTTTTTCCTCAGAGCTAATATGTACACCAAGGAACCACTGCTTACCTCCCAGAAAGATTCTAGGGTTTTAGGAATTCAGCTTCCTGTAGATGTTTGCATATACAGTACTTTATATGGTCTTTCCTTATCTTTTGCTTATGAGGGAAGCTTTGGCTTTCAGCAGTGGGGAACCTGTGGCCTTGGGGCCACATGTGGGCTTCTGGATCCTTGAGTGTGGCCTTTTGACTGAATCTAAATTTTACAGAACAAATCCTTGTGTTCTTTGAAGTTTCGATTCAGTTGAGGGGCCACACTTGGGGATCTGGAGGGCCACATGTGGCCTTGAGGCTGCAGGTTAAGTGGCCTGTTTCAAATAATACACTTTATTAAAGTCTTACTGCAAATGTCAGAGTGATTTCCAAATCTCTTTCTCTAACTATAGGGTTATATCCCAAGAACCAGTAGACTACGCGCAAATCAGACTCTACTCACCAGCCCATTTGAAAAACAATTTGAGAGTGCATTGAAGAGGCCTGGGGGGAGGGGTGGGGATGACCAGGAATCAAAACATCCTCCAAAGTGTGCTTTTACATTGAAAGGGCTGTGGCTATCAGAGGGGTTCCAGAATGTGGAATGGGATAGCCAGAGAACTTCTGCAGAGAGTAGGAATACTCTATGTTAGGGTGAGGGTAGGTGATTCTGGGCTGTTCCAATGGAAGCAGGGCACAGTATTCAGAGGAGGAGTAAGTGACGAGCTGGTCAGCAGGGGAGGTTACAGAATGGGGCGGGAGGGCACACGGGGACACCAGAGGAAGGGCACCATAATGTGGAAAAGTGCTGTAATGGGACAAAAATGCCAGCATCTGGGCAGTCAGTTTTCAAGAACCCTGAAGCTCAGGCAGGAGGACCCTAGGCTCATAAAGCCCACAGACAATCCCCAGATACGTTTGATTCTCATGTCACTTTCCCTTTGTTGTGCCTGCTTTTTTAAGTATCTTGGCCACAAGTTTTTGTTACATGGAAGACATTTGTTACATGTTACTGAGAAGAGAAATGAAGTAAGAAACAGAAGGCCTGCTTCAGGCTTGCAAAAGTGGGGACAGTATGGGCCTAGATGACTTCAGGCCCGTAGTCAAGTCCCCAGCCCTGTCACTAGCCATGTGACCTTGAGCAATTTGCCAAGTGCTATGAGCCTCAGGTTGTTCCTCTGTAAAATGGGTTTGATAAACCCTGTCTTATAGGACTGCTGGAATGTATGTAGTGCGAGTAAAGCATCTGGCACAGTGCCTGGCATACATTGGATGTTTATTGAATGGCAAGAATTTTGAATATGATTTTGACCCCAGAGTGTCCCCTACATACTACATTCTCTGAGATATTGTGTGTGTGTGTCTGTGTGTGTGTGTATGTGTGTATGTGTGTGATCAAGGACATCTCAGAGAACATGCAGCACTCCAGGACATGATACACCAAATGGGCCAGAAGTGCTACTTTGTAAATAAAACTCAGGAAATTTTCCCTATTAGTAGACACATTATTTAATTTGGATGTGTGTGGGGGGGAGGTTTCCTCATTTGGACGCAACTCAAAGCTCCTAGGATTTAAGTCAGGGACTAACTCCTTTCCTCCCTCCCACCTTCTCTTCACTGCAAACCATTATTTTCATTCATTTCACTCCCACCCAAAATCTAGCCCTTGCTCAGAGTTGGCCAAATTACATTCAAGATCATCTAATTAAACGTCCTTTCAATGGAGTAGGCTCTGGCTCTCCCAGGCCAGGGAAAATAGTGCCAGCATAGAGGCTGCTGGGAACCACTTCAAGGGAGTATCGCCCTGTTTTTCAGGAAATCCTTGTAGATGATGAGTATGAGCATTTAGTTCATGCACTTTTAAGGCAAAGGCACAGGATACCTTGTATACCTGCCCAGGTGGAAATTTCTTTCTGCTTTATCCACCATCCAAAAGGAACTGCTGAAAGCAGTTTTCCGCTGTAGGTTTTTATCTCACCTGTAAGGCACTCTGTCTGAGAGTCTGGGCCCTGCCACCATCCAGCTTAATTTAAAATTAATTCCTGCAGAAGGAGCTGCAACTTCCCAAAGCCCCAAACTGCCTTGGTTCAGGGTATTTACACTTACTCGCGTCTGGAGTCCCACTTCCTTGCTCCATTTTTTTTTACTTGCTTGTTAGGTCTTACTGGACATCTCACCATCTTCCCTGCTTATCCTAGAATCCCCACTAACACAGTCCCTTCCAAAGAGCAGATGTTCAATTAAGGTTTGGGGAATAAATGAGCCAGTCAACTGAAGATCTCATTTAATAAGATTTAATTCATTGTACATTCTAGAGTAAGCCAAGAAAATAAGGTATAAATCTTTAATTTTACAAAACAACAGACTAAAGGAGATACAGAAATCCTAGGATTAACCATCTCTTATGTTGTTCCTGTATTTATTGATCTCATTGGTTTTATTGCTGGGCTCTTTCACATTTCCAAGGAAATTTTTACTCCAACGCTATGTTATCTGGTTCCAGATCACAAAATAAGATGGAAGTTTCCCCAATTTGTTTTACTTAATAGCAAAACTCTTATTCTTAAACCTTATACACAGCAATAAATGTGTGACCAATGTCATTCATGAATCTAGATTCTGAAGCTGGTAAACTTTTTAAGAGAGACATTTGAAAAATACCAAAAAGAAAAAAAATAACAATAAAATCTGCAATCAGCCCTCCACTACTTAAAAACTTGACTACCCCCTTCAGACAGAATGAAGAACCTGCCCAAGACTTTACTCAGGGCAGAAGCTGCTGGACTTGGCCTTGGTGGCAATTTTAGCCTGAGCTCTCTCTTCTTCATCTCTCAAAGCTTCCTGATACAAGGATGTGAAGGCAGTGGCCTCACTCCCACTGACCTTGGAGAAAAACTCCAGGACTTTTTTCTTGCTGGTTTCAGCACGAGCCCTTGGGCCCCACAGGAATTCGTAGCTTGGAGGATCACTGTTGGGCACTCGACGGTACTCCAGGTATTTTTCCTGCACCAGATCTCTGGTGATGACCTTCCTGCACTCCCCATAGATGAAATCCTTCCCCTCAGCATACACCCCGATCGTATTCAGCACCTCCCAAATCTTCTCCTCAGGGGCACGGTTGCCCTCCATGAAGATCACGCCCAGGATAAGAATCAGGAGGCCGGTCTTGGGCATGCCCTGGTCATCACTCAGCTTTCCATCATAGGTGAGGTCTAGCATTTTGGTGAGCACATAAGAGCGGCTGATGGGATCCATTTTCTTCACCTCAATGCCAAAGACCACCTCCATGCATTCACGGGCTTTCATGAAGATCACAGGGAAGTGGTCTTCGTACTCTTTGATGACATTCTTCAACATTTCTGCCTCTGTTACGGGCTCCTTTGTTGTATACTTGACACTCAGAAACTTCACTAACTCAGCCACCTTCTTCTGTAGCATGTTACCGAACAAGGACTCAGGATATGGCAGGAACTGTGAGGTGCTTGGATCATTCTTTTCCTGGCTGCTGGAACCCTCTTCAGGCTGGCTCCATGGAGTGGCTTTCATAGTAGTGGAGGAGAAGGAGGTTTTCTGAGGACTCTTGGGAGGATCTGGTGTTCCAACAGCAGACACCGCCTCCAGGGTGCCTGGGATCAGAGTAGAGGAGGAGGCTGTGGCGCTCACCTTCTCAGCTGCAGCAACTTGTGCACCCACCAGGCCTTGTGCCTCTCTTTGGGCCTGAAGGCCTTGCTCATTCTTGCAGGGCTGACTCTTCTGGCTGTGAGGCATCATGACTTGCGTTGGAGAAGCCAGCAGGAGTGTGGGCAGGAGATGGGTGATGGAGCCAACTGGCCTGAGAGAGAGAGGAAGAGTATGAGAAACTTAACCTTGTTAGTTCTGACAAGGCTGTCTCAACAGGTCCTCCCTTAGTTCTCTAGGGCCTCGCAGGTCTTCTCCTGTTCTCCTGGTCAGCCTGTCCCCTAGCAACCTGTATGAGGTTGTTAAAAAGCTCCTCAGGGTGCAGCCAGCCAGCAGAACATGAGACTTCCAGGGATGACAGTAGGGTGGGTGGGGCTGGATGCTGTGGTGGTCCCTCTGTTCTGGGGGGTAGGGCCCTTGGTACACATTTAGGGTGCACACCTCACCTTGACTCCTGGCACTGCCTGAGCCTCTTCTGCTCTGTGACCTGAGGAGATCTGGCCCAGACCAAGGCCCTCACCTCCAATTCCTGGAGCCCCTGTAAGAGGAATTGAGAGGGCCTCTCAAGCTACAGACTAAAAGTACAGCCCCGGGCCCCACAGGGCTGACAGGTGCGCAAGGACTCTGTGAGGACCCCACAGTTCTGAAGTAGATCCTCCCCTGGGTCCAATCGGGGGCAGGGATGGGCTAGGCCCATCTGTTCTTGTGTAGGGGGTGCCCTCCACCCTCAAATTGACTCCTGGCAGGGCCTGAGACTTCTCCCTCTGTTGAACTGAGTCCAGTCCCCTGAGACCACCAGGTGGGAGTAAGGGGGCACCACATTTAGACATCATACACCGGGGCCTCCCAGGGCAGGTGCAGTACAGGGCAGGGGCCCCAACTCTTCAAGGGGAGAGGGAGGTTCCCTCAAATCTCAGTCAGGGTCTTCACCATGACTCCTGGCAGAGGCTGGGTCTCTTCCCTGTGCTGACCAGATGTAGCTACCTCTACTGACATGAAGTTGCCCCCCTTAGACCAAGGCCTTCACCTCCTTGAGACCAAGGAGACAAAAGTGAGGAAGTGCCACATATAGCCACCCCTGCCCAGGATCTCCTAGTGCTGACAGCAGGGGCTGGACCCAATGTCCTCGGGTGGTGGGCACACTCAGTCATCCCTCGGGGTCCTCACCTCCCTGCTCAGCAGGGCCTCTGGTGGCCTGACGTCGGCCCTCTCAGACAAAGGCCTTCACCTCCCTGAGACTCCCAGGCCAGCTGGAAATGAGGGCAGACTCAGATAGACCTTCCTGGGGCTGTGAGGGCTGACAATAGGGGTGAGACAAGTTTCTTTGGGGACCCCTTTGTTTGGAGTAAGAGTTACCCTCAATCCTCCCAAAGGTATTCACGGTTACTCCCAACAGGGCCACTATTCCTTCCCTTCTACTGTCCTGAGGATGCCTTCCTCAAGCCAAGGCTGCTATCCACCAGACATGCCAGACAAGGAAGTGAGGGAAGTGGAAGGGGTTAGAGGGGACGTGCCTGTGCCTAACAGTCCTACTCAGGGTCTCCCAGGGCTGGCAGCAGGAACAGGACAGGGCTGGAGCCCCTCTATCTGCAGTTGGAGATCCTCTAGGGCCGCTCTCAGAGTCCTAAGCTTGACTCCTGTCAGGGCTGGGCTACTCCTTCTGTTGGCCTGAGGCTGCACCCATCGGACCTAGGACCTTAACTCACTGAGACCACCAAGAAGGGAGTGAAGCAGGGCCTCAGCCTGACAGGACCAAATAATGTCTATCAGGGCTCACAGCAGGGTCAGGGCGGATACCTATGGAGCTCCCTCTGGGTTCTGCATTGGGGGTATATTTATACCCTACAAGGCCTGCGACCCATATTTTTTGCTGGCTTGAGGATGCTTCCCTTATACCAAGGCCCCTATCTCCTAGAGAAGCCAGACAAAAACGTGAGGCGGGTGGGCGGGGCATCTCTGCCTTATAGCCAAGCCTTGCGCCTCTCAGAGAAGCGGCAGGTTTCTGTGGCTCCCTCTGTATCTGTGGTGGGGGGGTCCTCTCAGCCCTACCTAAGGGTCCACGCCTTTACTCCTGGCAAGGCCTGGGGCCCCTCCCTCTGATAATCAGAGATCTGGCACTTCGGACCAAGGCCCTCACATCCCTAAAACCCCCTATCTGGGTATGATACAAGAGAAAGAGGAGGCCTAGCACGACGGCATTTCCTGAAATCCCCAGGGCTGACGGCAGGAAATGCCGGGTGAATTTCTGTGGAGATTCCCCAGGACTCCATGGTGGGGTACCCTCAGTCCTATGCAAGCTCATTATATTTACTCCTAACAGGACCTGCACTGCCTCTCTTCTGCTGAACCGAGAATACGGCGCTCAAGCCACAGTCGCGCTCTCTCTGAGCCCGGCGACAAGGGAGTGAGGAGGATTGCGGAAGGTGGCTCTACTTGACTACCCTGCCGCGGGCCTCTCAGGGCTGACAGAAGGGGAGGGTTTCAATGGGCTCCGATCTGTCTGCTGGGAGGTCCTCTCAGGCCTCTGTACGGGTTCTCACCTTGACGTCTAGCACTGCCCGGTACTCTTCCCTCTGCTGTCTCGAATCTACACCCCTCAAATAAAGCCTCGCTTCCTCATGAGGTCTCCAATGAAGGAAGTCGATACACCACATCAGGCGACCCTCCCTGGGGCATCCCGGGACTTACAGCAGGGGCGGGGAGCTGAGGCCCCCTCTCTCTGTAGTGAGAAGTCTCCACTGTCTTTCTTTAGGGTCCTTACCTTAATATCTGGCAGGGCACCTCAGAGGAAGCCTCGCCTCCCTCAGACTCCAAAGATGGAAGTCCAGATAAATCACGTCAGGGAACGATGCCTGGGGCTGTCCAGGGCCGGCAGCAGGGGCAGGGTGGCAACAGAAGCGGCTCTTCTCTGTGTGGTGGGAGGTCCCCTTACTCCTCCTTCCGGGTCCTCACTCTGAAGCCTGGTTGGATGTGGGATTCCTCCTTCTGCTGACGTAAGTCAAGCACCCTCCGCGGAAGCCTCCCCTCCCTGAGTCTGCCAAAATGGAAGTCAGGATACACCCCATCCGGGCACTCTGCCTTGGGTATGTCAGGGCTGACAACAGGGATAGGCTGGGTCTTAGCTCAGCGCCTTCACCTTGATTTCTGGCGCCACGTCAGCCCCTCTCTTTATCGACCGAGACCACACTTAGCTCTCTACGACCACCAAACTGGTGGGGTGTCAGCCCGACAGGCCTGTACAAGGGGCTACCAGAATTGACAGCAGGGGCGGGGTAGGTTTCTGTGGGATTCTCTCAGTTCTGGGCTGGGGATTGCCATCAGTTATTTTCAAAGTGTTCATATTTTGTCCTGACAGAACCTGCACTCCCTGCTTTTCAAGACCCCCATCTCCCTGAGGCGCCCTCTGCAGGACTGCGGAGGTTGTGAGTGGTGGCGCCTTTTCCTGGCAGCCCTGCCTGGGACCTTCCTAGGCTGACAACAAGATCGCCTTTACTATGGGGCCCGCTCTGACGGTGGGAGGTTAAATCAGCCCTCAGTAAGGGTCCTCACCTTGAAGCAGGGCCTAGGACTCCTGTCGTTGCTGACCTGAGTCCTGCCCCCTTCGACCAAGACCCTCGCTTCCCTGAAAACCTCTCCCCTCTTTCAGTGGAAGTCAGGGTCTGCCACCTCTGGACATGATTGCCCCTAAGGCCTTCGAAGTCTTGAACAGCTGGGGCAGAACGGGCCTAGGGCCCAGTCTCTTCTGCGGTGGAGGTTCTGTTTAGTCCTCCCTCAGGATCATCACCGTGAATCCGGAAACAGTTGGCCTCCTCCCTCTGCGGACCTGAGTCCATTTACCTCAAACGAAGGACCTCCCCTTTTTAAGACCCCCGAATTGGAAATAAGGAGTGTTTTTAGCCTGACAGCCCAGCCTGGGGTCTCCCATGATTTGCATGGATATATCAGGAGTGGAGTGGGATTCTGTGTGGTCTTCTCTGTTCTCAGGGGGGTGTATTCCCCTCCGCCACTCTTGAGAGTCTTCGTCTTGGGTCCTGGCTCTTTCCTTAAATGCTCCGTGAGAGATCCCTGCCCCCTGCCAGCTCTGAGCATTTCCGTAGCTGCAACTCTTGCACGGAATGGTTTCGCGTCCCAGGCTAGATACTAGAAGAAGGGAAAATAGCAGCGCCCATGACAAATAATGGCCTGTCGCAGAAGCAACACACCTTCCCATGGAGCCTCTTCACCAGACAAACTTAGACTTCTGAAACCTTTTGTTCTAAAATATTTATTTTCTACAGGGAAGAGCCCGAGCAGCATGATTTTGGAAGGCCCTACTCTTATTTTTTGTTAAGACTTCAGAAAAGTAGTTAAATCTGCTACACTTTATGACATTTTATAGCCGACTCAGTTTTCAAAAGAATTAACTTTCTAGAGCAGTTTTAGGTTCATAGAAAAATTGAGAGGAAGGCAGAGTTCCCATAGACCCCTTAGCCCCCAACGTGCACACTCTCCCCCATCATCAACATCTCCCAGCAGAGTGGTACATTTGTTACAATTGATGAACCTGCTTTGATACATTATTATCACCCCAAGTTCACAGTTTACATAAGAATTCACTCTTGGTATTGTACATTCTATAGATTTGAACAAATGCATAATGACATGTATTCACCATTGTTGTATCATACAGAATAGTTTCACTGCCCTAGAATTCCTCTGTGCTCCACCTATTCATCCCTCCCTCCCCCAGCTCCCGGCAACCACTGATCTTTTTATTGTCTCCATAGTTTTACCTTTTCCAGAATATCATATAGTTGGAATCATACAGTATGTAGCCTTTTCAGATTGGCTTCTTTCACTTAATAATATGCATTTAAGTTTCCCCCATGTCTTTTCATGGCTTGATACCTCATTTCCTTTTAGCACTAAATAATATTGAATTCTCTGGATGTGTCACAGTTTCTTTATCCATTCATCTCCTGAATGACATCTTGTTGCTTCCAAAATCTGGCAATTATGAATAAAGCTGCCATAAACATCTGTGTGCAGGTTTTGTGTGGACATAAGTTTTCGACTCCTTTGGATAAATATCCAGGGGTGCAATTGCTGGA